CCCAGGCTCAAACTCCCAGACTCAAGCAGTCTGCCCGTCTCAGCCTACCAAAATTCTGAGGTTACAGGTGTGGGCGACCACACTCGGCTTTAATCATGACGTTTTAAAAAAGTGAAACCAGTGATTATTGCAGGCTCCCAAATGTGGAAACACTTTCTGGGAAAGGTCATAGGATGGGTTGCTGCGATTTTATCTTCTATTATCTCTGTTCCAGAGGGACCCACCCAAGCATTTGGGAATTTTTATGTCTCTTTAGCAACTTTTATTCTGAACACTTGAGAAGATTGAGGATCTGAATAAATCAAATTTTATATTTAACAAAATTTATGTTATTTACTGTGTGCTCCTCAATGTTCTAAGCTGTTTGTAAACATTATCATTTCATTTTCTTGACAGTTCTACGCAGTGGGTGGTATTAATAGCCTCATTTCACAAATGAAATAACTGAATAACTTGTCCCAGGTAACCCAGTCAGGAAGAAGAGGGACAGGTATTGGATCACAGGCTCCTGACCACTATTTTTGTTTGTTTGTTTGTTTGTTGTTGTTATTTTTTGAGCCAGGGTCTCACTCTGTTGCCCAGGCTGGAGTACAGTGCATGGCATGATCACGGCTCAGGGTAGCCTTGACCACCTGGTCTCAGGCGATCCTGCCACCTCAGCCTCCTGAGTAGCTGGGACTACAGACACGCACCTCCACACCAGGCTAATTTTTTGATTTTTTAGTAGAGACGAGGTCTTGCTGTGTCGTTCTGGCTAATTTCAAGCTCCTGGGCTCAACCAGTCTGCCCACCTTAGCCTCCCAAAGTGCTGGGATCACATGCATGAACCACTGCACCCAGTTTAACCACTGTTTTATTGTTTTCTTCTTGCATTTGATTTCTTTGAAAGTTTAGGATGACCTGTAGCCAGGTTTAGTGATGAGAGAGGAAGTCTGGGTCCTCTTGTATGATAGCTCTTGTTTCGTGGGAGTTTCTTTTCCTTTCCTTCACATTTAATTATGTGTATAATGTGTGTAAATGGAATGTGTTTAATCTAATTTTACTTAATTTTATGTTTCTCATGGTCCTGCCAGACTTTCGATAAATTCCTTGAAACATGAAACTGGCAAATAGATACATTTGACAAATAAGTAGAAGAGTATGGTTTATTACAAATTCTAAAACAATTAGATCAGTTTACTAGAAATTGAGATTTCCCCCTTCTTTGTGGGACTATGTAATAGTTTAATTTAGCTGTTTATAAATGTGTAATTGTATTCTAAACAATAGGACAACTGAACAATTGGTCATCATGTATTGGGATAATAAAACTCTGAGGGCATACTATTTAAAACCTAGCATATTCAATGTATGTGCGCCTTGAGGGAAAAGTCTTGAAGCCACAATAGAGTCTGTTCTTACATCAGTAGCAACATGATATTTCTACTTGATGACTCTTCTGCATCTCAGGGAATGTTTGATTATTTGAGGTTACAGTGCTGCCCTCAGAATCCTCAGGTCTGTTTCTTGGGGCAAATGTTCTGTATTCTTTGGTTCTCAATCTCTGCTCATGTACAGTGTGTCTAGAACCCTCTAGAACCTAGGACCTTCCAGCTCAACCTTCTTTTCTGTGCTCCAAATACTTCCTTCATGTTTCAAAGCTACCTTTGAAATCCTGTTTCTTCGGTGGCTTTTTCAGTTAATGAAAAGAGAATTGATCTGGCCTCATTGTTATTGCTCCTTATCATTCAGGAATAAGGTTTAATGAATGGCCATTGCACTTCTTCATTTTGAATTTCAATGAACTGATTTATTCTGCACATGCAAACTAATGTGACTCCCTTTAATGCTTGTATTTGAAGCAACAAGCTTGCTTACTAGCACAGTAAACAGCAGTTTCAATTCCGTTGGTCACTGGGCCTTTTGTATTTTAAGAAATATTTCATTGCATGTGGATGAATAGGAAACAGACGTTATTATGTTTGCACTGGTTTGCTAGGGCTGCCTTAACAAGGTTCCATAGACTGGGTGACTCAAACAACAGAAATTTCTCTTATCACAGTTTCGAGACAAGAAGTGTGAGATCAAGGTGTGAACAGGAGAAGTTTCTTCTGAGGCCTCTCTTCTTGGCTTGTAGGTGGCCATCTTGCCCCTGTGTCTTCACACGGCCTTCCCTTTGTGTGGCTGTGTCTTAATCTCCCCTTCTTATAAGGACTCTAGTCATATGGATTGAGCCCACCAAATGATGTCATTTTAACTGAATGACCTCTTTAAAAATTCTCTTTCAGAATGCATTCTGAGGTACTAGGGGTGAGAACTTCAGCAGAAGTTTTGGGAGGACACAGTTCCACCGTCACAGGGTTTAACTATATTACGTGGTTGTCCTAAACTTTTATGACAAATTAAAACACCAATTTTTTTAAAGCTTTCAAAGTAGGCTAGGGAAGACAGCATCTTGAAAGAGAGAAGGATGTAGGGTCTGGTTGTGATCTGGCTTAGAACTGGCTAAATAGTTTAGAGCAAATTTCAGGGGAATTAATCTTTGTCCATACTTTCCCAATTTTTTGTACTCAGTGAGATCTGAAGTACCTTTTAGGTGCCTCTAAGATTCTATGATTATAGTTTAATAACTGTTTTGTGATTAGATCTTACTGTTGATTTAGGAAGATGCCGAGAGAGGAGTTTTCATGATCCTGTGTTATAATCCCATGCTTGACAGGTGGAACACAAAAGAGCAAGGCTTGTGCCCAACAGACCTTGATTAGAATTCAAGCTCTTTTCTTCTGCATCAAGCTAAAGAAAAGGACTATGAAAATCCTTGTCTGGTCAGGCGTGATGGCTCAGGCCTGTAATCCCAGAACTTTGGGAAGATGAGGTGGGAGGCTCACTTGACCCCAGGAATTCAAGGCAACATAGTGAGACCTCATCTCTACAAAAAATTAGCCAGTCATGGTGGCATCCGCCTATAGTCCTTGCTACTTGGGAGACTGAGGTGGAAGGCTCTCCTGAGCCCAGGAGGTTGGGGCTGTGGTGAGCAATGATCATGCCACACTTTCCAACCTGGGCAATAGAGTGAGATCCCAACTCAAAAAAATATGTATATTATTCTCTTGGCACCTAACCAGCTATGTATGAGTATGGATGGGTAAAATATTCTATGTTTTACCTGTTATATGGCAGTGGACAGGTTATATATCCTCTGTGAGCTTTTACTTCTTTATCTAAAAAATGGGAACAGAGTGGTTATGACACTGTCTTCCAGTCTTGCCCCTTGTCACTGTTGCCTGCTGCAGGTAAACACTGCCCCCACTGCAGGCGACCATTCCAGGTACCCTGGTGCTGAGGTAGCTCTTGCAGTCCAGATGGGGTATCAGTCTCCATACCTGCTGACTTACCTGGCCTCCACTGCCTGCCTGACTTATATGCCACAAAGGCTGCTTTTGTGGCTCAAGGCAGTCAGCGTGGAGCCGGGTTGATACCAATGTCCCCACCTTCGCTTGCTGAGTGTTAGAGCTCCTCTGCTAGACAGATGTCACTTTAGGTAGGACGAGCTGGTTCCAGATGACGACATTAATTTTTTCTTACTTCCTCTTTCTATATTTGATAGCCCCAAATAGTTGTCAGAGGACTGTCCATCTTACTGTATCTTATCAGGAAGCAAAGGGGGAAAGTTTGTGGGGTAGAGATGCAGTTTAACCTCACACATCAGATGTAAGGATTGTAGTCTTGCCAAAAGCACTTGCTGGGCCTTGTGTCTACTTTTTCTAGCTCAGAGAAATACCCACATGGCACAGCTCTTGTGAAGGGTAAATGAAATAATGTGTGTGTGTGTGTGTGTGTGTGTGTGTGTGTGTGTATGTATGTGTGTTGTGGGGGAAAGTGGGCCGCATGCCCTCCTCATACTTCTTTTAGTTTAGTTGAGTGTTCATTCCTTGTGTTGGGATTGAATTCATATAACTCTAATATTTTAAAACACTAGAGTGACTTATTATTAGACTTGAATAGATCCATTGATTCCGGATAAAATTTTATTCTAGTAAAACCATTAAACCAAGTTGACCTGAGAGTTCTCTGGGCAGGAATGAAGATTCCCAAGTTCTATTTGGTTTACTCATTTTAGTCATTATATACTGCATTAAAATATGGCACTTTTGGCTGTAGTATTTGATATGGAAAAATTCCCGTAAGTGAACCCATTTAACATTGCCTTTCTCTGGCACTGCTGCTGGTACCTTCTCCTTTTAACATCTGTATTCATCAGAACTTTTTCAGTAAGAGACAGAAGCTCAACACAAACAAGCTTCTGTTAAGAGGAGAATTTATTAAGCAGGGTTAGATCCAGGCGCATAGAGGATATTATTGGGCCATTTTCTGTCTCTCTTTCTTTCAAATGGATTTATTCTCAGAAAATGGATCAGAGAAATGGCTGCCGGCATTGCCAAGGTTTATCTTATGACTTCCAATTGGAAAGGAAGAAAGAGCCTTCGCCCTTGGGTCTGCATATCCAATATCATGGAAAACGTTGATTGGCTCTGCTTGGAGTCACATGGCCATCCCTGAACCCATGGCTGGAGGGTGTGTAGAGTACTGTGGGCAGCCTGGCCATGTGCCAACCGTTGTGGCAAAGCATCTTGATTGACAAGCCTCCTGGGATTACAAGGTATGGGAGGGATGATGTCCCAAAGGAAGGGTTGCTTAGCAACCAGACAACATGTCTGGTATAGATAACCAGTGTTTCAAATCAAGGGAGTTTAGTGTTTATTCCTTTAGTTTCCAGGGAATGGGAGGGTAGCTGTCATAAAACTGTGATGGATCCATTTGAGAATTTTGAGCTGCCCATTTAAAACCTGTTTGAGGTGACAAGATATCATGTAGAAGGTGCCCATCAGGTGGGCTGTGCATCATGCAGATACGCAAATCATGGCAGCATGATTGACGATTGCTGAGGTTGATTAAATGTGAGCATTTTGAGGGGTGAAGGAACAAAATGACACTAACAGACTTTTGTTTATTTTGGATAGGGTTAGATGACTGCCTGCAGCAGTATGTCCACAAGTTTGAGCGGGAGAAGATCAACGGCGAGCAGCTGCTGCAGATTTCCCATCAGGATCTGGAGGAGCTGGGGGTCACGCGGATTGGACACCAGGAGCTTGTGTTGGAGGCTGTTGACCTTCTCTGTGCACTGGTTAGTTCAGGAAAAGGTGGTCTGTACTGTGATGGAATTCTTAAGAACTGTATTCTCACGGGGTGTGGTGGCTCATGCCTGTAATCCCAGCACTTAGGGATGCCAAGGTGGGAGGATCATTCAAAGCCAGGAGTTTGAGACCAGTCTGGGCAACATAGCAATACCTCATCTATACAAAAAACAATAATAAAAAAAATTAGCTGGGCATGGTGGTGTGTGCCTATAGTCCCAGCTACTTGGGAGGCTGAGGTTGAAACCCAGAGGTCGAGGCTGCGATGAGCCATGTTCGTGCCACTGTACTCCAGCCTGGGTGACTCAGTGAGACTCCAACTCAAAAAAACCCAACCAAACAAAAAATAACCCTTATTCTCTTAAGTCCTCATTGTTTTTGCTTTAGCATACGATTATTTTTTTAATGATTCATCTAAGTGAAACATGAGTTGAAGATAACATAAAAAAGGGAAAAAAGTAAATTATTTTCTAGATTAAGTGTTGGCAAACTATGACCTGTCAATCAAATCTGGCCCATTGTCTATTTTTGTAAATAAAGTTTTATTGGAATGCTGCCATGCAGTTCACTTTAGTGTTGTCTGTGGCTGCTTTTATGCTATAGCAACAGAATTGAGTAGTTATAAGTGAGTATTTATTAACTTATCCTTTATAGAAAAAGTTTGTCTTTTACAGAAAATGTCTGTATTAGTCATATTTTCTTATCTTTTGTAAATAAAGAAAGATGGAGATAGCCCTGAATGAAAATGTCATCCTCTAAATTGAAATGAGAAATGGGTTCTGGTTTTTATGTCTGTTTTTGTTACTATAAAAAAGCATTTGAAATTTGAAGATATTTGTGACATTTAGATAACTGATGTTTGTGCTTGATATAATCAACCTATGAAATAATAGATTGGCCGGACATGGTGGCTCTTACCTGTATCCCTGCACTTTGGGAAGCCGGGATGGGAAGATTGCTTGAAACCAGGAATTCAAGACCAGCCTGGGCAACGTAGTGAGCCCTGTCTTTACAAAAAATAAAATAAAAAATTAACCAGGTGGGACACTGTGTATCTGTAGTCCCAGCTACTTGGGAGGCGGAGGCAGGAGGATTGCTTGAGCCCAGGAGTTGGAGGCTGCGGTGAGCTATGATCATGCCACCACACTCCAGCTTGAGTGACAGAGTAAGACCTTGTCTATATTTTTAAAAAAGAAAGAAAGAAAAAACAAATGGTAACTAGATGGGGGGAAAAGTGAACTTCATTACATTTTGCAGATGGGTGAGCTTTGGCTATAATGTGAGTTCAAACCTGCTAAGCCCTGTGCATTACACCTGTGACTACACAGACAGCTTTTTTAGGTGTGGACTAGAGACATTTGTAAGGTCATTTTGTTTATAAACTGGCTGGTGTGGGTGGGCTGGTGTCTGCCTGTCATGGTACCATGCAAAAGATGCAATTTACTGAACTGTCAGGATTTGGACAATCTCGGCAGCATTCAAGCTGACTTAGTAACTCTCTGAACCCATGCCAGGGGTATATACAATTACGTCACTGAGAATGGTGGGAAAGAATGTGCCCCCGATTATTTGGCCATTGCTGGCCTGCGTTCTGTTGATTATATAACACTCGTCACATTGTGCATGTTCTTCTTCTTAAAATGGACAGAGCGGTGTCTTCTGCCCTGAGAAGCGCTGTTCTTGTTTAGGAAAGTAATGGGGAAATTATCTGTGGTTGATAAATGAGCTGCCGCAAGGGAGACGCTGTGGCCAAGTGGTCTGAGCCCCGGTCTGGGAAGCAGGAATTTGCATTCTGATCCTGGCTCTGCTACATGCTACTCCCTTGGTGACCTCCAGGGAAACGCCGGTGTCTGTTTTTCCCATCTGTACAGTAACAGTCACCTTCGATGTGGCCATGTGGTGTTGTCTAAGTGTTTTTGCACTGCCGAGAAGATGTCTAAGCATCTTGTTATTTTATTAAACTCGCATGGTTCTTCGTACAGTCACACATCTTTGAGTTTACTTTTATTATACTTTTGGGGAACGTGGCTTTTTTGGTCTTTTCCGCTAGGTGTTTTGCACATATGCATTGTCTCTTTCATTTTGCAGTGATACTTTGAGGACAGGTAAATGACTTGAAACCCACAGTATGAGAGGCAAGGAGGAAGGGTTGCTAGAGGTGCATTGTGTACATGGAATGGGGTGAGAAACATGTGGCTGCCTCTGGGCAGTCTCTTGGCTCTTTTGTCTTCCCTACGTCTTAAAACATTAGCCTAAAATGAACAAAGCTGGACAGATGCCAGAACCTAAAGCTGTGTTTTATCTCCTACAATTTCCTTCTAATTTCCTCTGCAGACCAAGCTTTGACCTCAGACTCATTCTGGACTTGCTTTGTACCAGTGACTGCATTGGACGGGGAGCCACTTGGGAAACACAAGTGAATGTGGCTTTTCTGGACTGGGGAGAGTTTTGGTGGAGTTTTGTTAGAGTATCTTTAGCCTCAATATACATTTAAAAAATATTCTTGCTGCAATTCATGTACTGATTATATTATCTATTTAATCCATTTTTGACTTCTAGATCTTTGGATATATGAATTGGTGATGGCTTCTTGCTTTGAACAGTCCATTCCCTGGGTAGTTAATGTGTAATTGTGGTTGGTCCTAGTGTTATAAAAGAGATTTTTATGTAAACTTAGTTGAGCGGATGTTGATTTTGTGATAGACAGGAAATGAATAGAATTAGAAATAAGGAAGGGGGGAGGAAAAAAACAGAACCACTAGAGAGTTTTGGAGCAAAAAAAAGGGCAAGATAGAATGGAAAGGGGCCTCAAGTAGGGGACAGCTGTTGATTATGATCCCAACACTAGTGAATAATGGCTCACCCCTAACTGGGTGCAGTTAGTGATGAGAGAAACCATCTTTTGTGAACATTGACTTTGGCTGGCAGGAGTGGCTTAGGAGAGTGACTTGTATTATGAAGTGGGAACAGGACCATGTCCCAGGATTGAATTAGAATCTGCACCCAATCTTTCTTCCTCTGTCTGGGTACCTGAGACAGACTCTAAAACTGCTCTTGCCCGTAGGGTAGCTGCTAGCCAGTGTGACTATTTAAATGAAAATTAACGAAAATGAAATAATCTTCATTTCAAGTGCTCTGTGGCTGCAGGTGGCGAGTGGCTACCATATTGGACAGCACCGACAAAGAGCATTTGTATCATTGCAGAAAGTTCTGTTGGACAGTGCTGGTTGAGAGCACCAGAGTATGACTGTAACCTGTGCTCTTTGCCAAGTCCTCATTTACTGAGGACAAAGGCAGGGACAGCTGATTTCAGGGTTGAAGTCCTCTGAGAAGTAAACTGAGTTGGAATTGATACATGTGCTAAGCGATGCTACCTGAATTTGTGGCTAAGTGAAATGTCTGTAATGAATCTACCTGCCCAGAACACACATGCACGCTGGTATACCCCTGGGATTACTCATTGTTCATCATTTACCCATGGTTAATTGTTTAAAAAAGTATCTTTTTTTTTTTTTTTGAGTTGGAGTCTCATTCTGTCACCCAGACTGGAGTGCGGGGCTGCTCCCGGCCACTGCAGCCTCAACCTGCTGGACTCTGGCGATCCTTCCGCCTCAGCCTTCCAAGTAGCTGGAATTACAGGTGCACGCTACCACGCCTGGCTAATTTTTTGATTTATTGTAGAGATGAGGTCTTGCCAAGTTGCCCAGGTGGGTCTCGAACCCAGGGGCTCAGGCAATCCACTCACCTCAGCCTCCCAAAGCGCAGGATTACAGGCTGAGCCACCGAGCCCGGCTTATCTTTTTTTTTTTTAATGAGAAGAAATCATTCAGGAAGAGGAATCTTTGCCAGCAATTTTTGTTTAACTTCCTCTTGCTTATGGGCTTATTAAATGCCTTAGGGAAAACTGTGAAGTATATTTTTTAGGTTATCACTTATTTGACCCAAGTCAGTAAGATGACTTTGAGTGTGTGTCTCTGGTACCCTTTAATCACGTACTTTATATCATAAGCAGAGCTAGTAGGAATGGTGAAGATGGAGGAGAAGTTGTGTAGGGTTTGCCCTTAGCTAAATATGTATAATTTCGAGGCACCAGAAGAGTGAGAATCTGGCCTCTTTCCTTTCCTCCTACCTAGTGTATGGTTTCTCTAGCCCAGCGGTCCCTAGACTTCCTGGCATCAGAGACTGGTTTCATGGATGACAGTTTTTCCACAGACTGGGGGCGGGTTGTGCAGTCAAACCTCACTGCTAATATTAATCTGTATTTGCAACCGGTCCCCAGTGCTAGCATCACTGCCTCAGCTCCACCTCAGATCGTCAGGCATTAGATTCTCATAAGGAGTGTGGAACCTAGATCCCTCACATGTGCAGTTCACAACAGAGTTTGTGCTCCTATGAAAATTGAATTCTGCAGCTTGATCTGACAGGAAGCAGAGTTCAGGTGGATGCCAGCAATGGGGGAATGGCTATAAATACAGATGAAGCTTTGCTCACTCAGCGACTCACCTCCTCCTGTGTGACCTGGTTCATGGCCCAGGAGTTGGAGTAAGGCCTAGCCTGAGGAGGAAGGCCTCCCCGATGGTAAATCTTTATGGAAATAAGGTCTCAGTGGAAGGGTTTGGCATGTGTATAGTCAGAGACTCACTTTGTTACTAAATTTGTATCTTTTTGATGCTTTATCTTAAAGTCATTTCTGAAGAAGATAGATTTTAGGGAAAAGACTAATGAAAGCAGTAAATCTGGTCTGAGAAATTATTCATTTTCTGTCTTTCTTTTGGGGGCACTTAAGTCAATAATCCTTTCCTGAATGTATTTCTACAATAGAAGTTCTGTTGAGCTAATATAATCAGTTTCTTGTTCCTTTTTTGTTGTGGAATGGGGCTGAAGGGAAAGGAACTTTCCTTTCCTTCTTTCCTCTTTCTTATGAAAATTATACGAGGGGCAACCCCAGAATTTATTTATAAAAAATTGTGTGTTTATTCTTACATGTTTAAACTTCAGTCACCTTCAAAGTACTCTTCATTTGATGCAGTACACATATCGCGATGCTTTTCCACTTCTCAAAACAGTTTTTGAACTCATTAGTTTGATGCTTTTTAGTGCTTTTGCCACTTTTTGTTTCACCTCTTCTACATTGGCAAAACATTTCCCTTTGAGGATTTTTTCATTCTGGAAGCAAAACATAGTCACTCGGGGAGAGATTGGTTGAATAAGGAGGGTGGGGCATGGGGGCTCATGCTCTTTGGCCAAAAACTGCTGGACACTCAGCACAGTGTGTGCAGGTGCACTTGTAAATCACCCATCTTGAAATGGACAGATGCTTTAAAAGAATCTCCAAAAAAAATTCACTGAAGCCTATTGCAGCCTTTCACACCAACGCTAGCTGGTACACTGATGCTAATGGGTTTCTAGAACATTTACCTAGCAGGGGAAGCCTGTACCACAAGGGGCCCGCCCTCCAAAAAATAATTCTGTTTTTTTGGATCCCCTCATATTCTATTTTATCCATATCTATCCATCTCTCTAGTTCTATTATTTGTTTTGGGGAAAAAAAAAAGAATCAAAGCAAATTGAGTGGAAAATGAAGAGAATCAGTTATAAGAAGTCACCTCCCCCGTTAATATTATCAGTGGTAGGTGTGTAGAAGATTGAGGTTTAAAGTTTCCTGCAACAGTAAAATGCATTTCATGTTCTTTGCGTTCAAACAGTAAATGTTGTGTAAAGTAATAAAAGTTTTAAGTAATTTATGTTGACACTGATTATTGAAAGCTAGCTTTTCTGCTTTTAGTTAAAAACTCATTATGTAAGTTGGCAGGCCGGGTAATTGAGTGAATGAGGGGATATCTCCCTTTAATCACCATCACAAGTCCTTCAAAACAAGTAGACTCTTGACCCATTCATTTGTGAGTCTTTGATTCTTTGAATTTAAAAAGCCATGATGAAAATTTATCTTTTTATTTTTGTCTTCTACATTAAAGGACAAAATTATATTTCAGTCTCTAGAAAATCACATAAAAAAGAATGACTATAAGATTTAGATAGGTTGGGCACAGTGGCTCAGCCTATAATCCCAGCACTTTGGGAGACTGAGGCAAGAGGATTGTCTGAGCCCGAGAGTTCGAGACCAACATGGGCAACTTGGTGAGACCTGGTTTCTACAATAAATCACAAAAACTAGCCGGGTATGGTGGTGTGTGTCCAACTACTTGGAAGGCTGAGGCAGAAGGATTGCCTAAGCCCAGCAGGTCGAGGCTGCGGTAGCCGTGAGCATGCCACTGCACTCCAGCCTGGGTGACAGAGTGAGACTCCAACTCGAAAACAAACAAAACAAAACAAAACAAAAAATATTGTGATAGAACATTACTGTCAGTACAGAACAGCTATTTTTTTTAAGGCTTGTAAAAGATTGTTTTCAGGTAATTTGTACTTATCTAACTCCTTTTAAAATTGCTATCTAAATTTTAAAAAATTTGTTTTACTAGGAAGTGACATAAATTTAAACTTCAATAAAGTCTTTTTAAAACTAGAATTGTTTTCATTAAAGGCAAAGCCTTTTGTTGTTTTTAACTTAACCTTTGTTCATTTTGCCCAAAAAAAAAAGTTCTCACAAACTTCCGAGTATATTTACACTTTGTTGTATCTTGATTTTGAAACATGACTTGCTCCTTTTTGACCCAGATGACTGAAACCAGCTGAAAGACCAGCCTAATCCTTCAGCAGGATAGAGCAGGTCAGGATAGAACTTTGGGGAGTTAAGCAGCCTGTTAGTGTCTGCCAGATCCAGGATCACTGACCAGTGTTCCTTATTCTTATCTTCTGTCTTATCCATTGGCCCTTTCCTGGGCAGGGTGTCTGGAAAAGGAGGAATCTAACAGCACAGTGATCAAAAACTTATGCCCTGAATGGAGATGACCTTGATTAGAATCTCAGCACTACCACTGACTACACAGTGCTGAGATTCTCCATCTAGTACATAAGCTTTGGAGAATTTAGTTACTGTTTTGTGCTTCAAGTTTCCGAGCCTATGACTTAGAGATGATAACATTTTCACCTTCATGGACTTTTCCTTGTATAAATATGTCAAACACTAAGCCCAGTTCCTGGCATAAAGTGTTCAATAATGTTAGCCTTAGTTCTTGTATTTAAATGGTACCAGATTCTTGCTTTGGAATGCTGTTGAAACAGTATAATATACTTCCAGAAGAATCTTAATTATTATTATTTTGTTTTAGGCAGAGTCTCACTCTGTTGCCCAGGCTGGAGTGTAGTGGCACAGTCACAGCTCACCACAGCCTCAACTTCCTAGGCTCAGGTGATCCTTCTGCCTCAGCCTCCCAAGTAGTTGAGACTCCAGGTGTGGGCCACCATACGCAGCTAATTTTTTTCTTTCTTTTTTGTAGAGATGAGGTCTCACTCTATTCCCTAGGCTGGTCTTGAACTCCTGGACTCGAGTAATCTTCCCACCTCAACCTCTGAAAGTACTGTGATTACAGGCATAAGCCATTGCATCCAGCCAGGTCTTTACTTTTTGTTAAATTGACAAAACAATTTAGGACATGTACATACAATTGAATACAGAAATTCATACCCCTGCCTCCAAAGTCATCCTGGATTCATGTGTTGTTTCTTGGGATTGGTTGTTTCTCTGAAAGGGAGTCTAGGACAATATTGTCCCATGAAATTAAGTTTTTTAAAGCACCCAGGCAAGTGAACCGTGTTCAAAAAGAACACAAGTTAGATGCTCCAGAGAGGGAGATTGTATTTCAGTGAATTGGTGTTTTGTTAGTGCTGCTCTGTTTCTGTATGAATGAATTGCATCTGATGGAAATTCAGCCATTCAGTGATTATATTAGTGTCTGCTATGCTGGAAATATAGTAGTGATGATACCCACAGAGCCCTGCTTCCACAGACCTTGCATCCCTATTGGGGAAGACAGCAGTGAACTTGGTGATTCGGAAGTGAGCGATGAGCTAGATTGATTTGAGAGGCAATTCTGCCCCTAGGGGACATATGGCAATGTCAGGAGACATTTTTGGTCATTACTGTAGGTGAGAGGGCGCAATGGCAACTGACATGTAATGAGTAGAGGTCAGAGGTGCTGCTAAACCTTTTGCAATGCACAGGGACCCTCCTCCGAGGCCCAACACAAAGTATTATCCAGCCCCGAAGGTCAGTGGAACCCTGGTGAGAAACCCTGCTCTAGATTAAGTGGTCAGGGAAGCTCTGCAGAGGAGGGGACATTTAGGCCAGGATCTGAATGATAAGAATGATCTGAGCTGGGTGTGGTGGCTCATGCCTGTAATCCCAGCATTTTGGGAGGTAGGAGACGAGAGGATTGCCTGAGCCCACGGGTTTGAGATCAGCCTGGGAAACATGGGGAAACCTTGTCTCTGCAATAAATCAAAAAATGAGCTGGATGTGGTGGCATGTGCCTGTAGTTCCAGCTACTTGAAAGGCTGAGGCAGGAGGATGACCTGGGCCCAGCAGGTGGATGCTGCGGTGGCCATGAGCATGACACTGCACTCCAGCCTGGGTGACAGAGTGAGACACCAACTCAAAAAAAAAAGAAAAGAAAAAAGAATTATCTGTCCATGCCAAGATTTGTGGGAAGAACATTTGGGAAAGAGAAACTAGCAAGAACAAAGTCCCTGAGACTGGAGTAGGCTGTAGAAGGGGCAGAGAGAACGCTGGTGTGGCTGGCATGGGTGAGGTGGGCCGTGGTGGATCGTGCAGGGTTTTCAGGTGATTGTTGGAATTATATTACTCAGTGGGCTTTTGAATTAATTCTGAGAGTTTGGATATTCTTGATTGTTTTGAATTTTTTCCCTTTGATTTTGTTTTCCACAGAATTATGGCCTTGAAACTGATAATATGAAGAACTTGGTTCTGAAACTGCGAGCGTCTTCTCACAATTTACAGAATTACATTAGTAGCCGGCGGAAAAGTCCAGCTTACGATGGGAACAACTCCCACAAGCCCCCTAACGAGTTCCTGACTTCCGTGGTGGAGCTCATCGGCGCTGCTAAGGCCTTGCTAGCGTGGCTGGACCGGTGAGTGGCGGATGTGCCCTTTGTTACCCTCTAAGGGTAGGGTCCAAGATTCACAGAAGCTGTGCTTTGTCTTAGGAAAAGGAACCGTTGTCCCTTTCATGTCATTTTCCCTGAGCCTGAAGCAGTCCCTGGATCAGAAGTAGGTTTTAGGATTCCTTTGCAAGATACTGAAAAGGTTAGCAGCAGGTACAAATTAACCTTTGCTTAGAAAAGAGTGACACCCTGCTAAAGGCTATGTCTTCCTGAGATTAAACATAAGGAGCTGAGTATTTTGTTGGTATGAAGGCTGTTGGTTGACTTTAAGGAATGGTTACTCTCTTGGCTCATTTTGTGTGTGTTTTAATCTAGCATGTCCCTGTCTCTTTTCAGATTTCTAGTTTACATGTTCCTTGAGAAAAAAATAGCTAAATAGCAAGTAATTAAAGGAGCCCATGGTGTAGCTATGCTTGCCAACGTACAGTGTGGGATCTTAGTGGCTTTGCCACTCTTTATTTTTTTTATTTAACGAGGATTGTTCTTACCTTCTAGGGCTCCATTTACAGGAATCACTGATTTCTCAGTCACGAAGAACAAAATCATTCAACTTTGCTTGGACTTGACCACTACAGTTCAGAAGGTCAGTGTATACCACCATCACCTTCTAAAATTGTTCTTCTCTTTTTTCTCTTCAGAGAATTTCCATGCAGGTATGAAGTATCATTCTTTCCCCTCAGCCCTGCTTTTTTTTTTTTTTTTTTAATCAGAAGTGGGGAAAGGGGAAAGGCTTTAAATTAGATTCATTATACAGTTGGTTTCTGAGAAAAGTGATTGGAGGTCTTTGACTGAAATATTGCCCTTTTTGTGTTTAAAAACACTTGAGCTGATCACCCTGTACCTTCTCTGATGTTAGAACACTTATTTTTTTTTAAAGTAGAAATTCTGAAGTAACTCAATTTCACTAGAATCCTTGCTCTGACAACTTTGCTCTGTCAGCTTCTTAATTTTCTATTCATTTTCATCTCTGGTTTTTGGATATACCAGTCAGGATAGGCCAGGTCATGTTGCAGTAACAGACCACCCCCTCCCACCCAACCCCAGCAGTTTATTCCTTGGTTCTTTACATCCAAATGGGTCAACGGGGGGTCTACTCCAATTCCCTCACTTTAGTACATAGGCTGACAGGACCACCAGAACTTTACATTGTTGGTCCCCAGCGCAGAAAGACAAAGAACCCAGGAGGTTTCCACACTGACAGATGTTCTGGTTTGGAAGTGACTCATGTCAATTTCACTCATGGCTCATTGGCCGTACCAAGGCATAGGCCCTAGGAAGTTTTATGTAATTCAGTCTGTAACTAATCTAGCTTCTATGGTCATAACTTTTAAAAAACTTTCTTGTTGGACCATCAGCCTTGGAGCCACCTCCTGTCATATTACTCAGCGTGTAGCAGACACTTGTAAATTGTTTTTGAATTGAGGCTAGGCACAGTGGCTCATGCCTGTAATCTCAGCATTTTGAGAGGCTGAAGCAGGAGGATTGCTTGAGCCCAGGACTTTGACCAGCCTGGGCAACCTAGCAAGATTTCATTTCTACAAAAAAAAAAAGCCAGGGGTGGTATCCCACACCTGTAGTCCCAGCTACTTGAGAGGCTAAGGTAGGAGCATCATCTGAGCCCAGAAGGTTGAGGCTGCAGTGAACAGTGATTGTGCCATTGCACTCCAACCTGGGCAATAGAGTGAGACCCCCACCTTCAAAAAAAGTTTAAAAAAAAAAATTGAATTGCAGCAATAAAATTTAAGGAAGAGCTTGTTGTTTTTTCACATCTCATTTGTTCTAAAATTGTGTGATTCCATGTTTATTTCCACTGCTGATTTGGCAAAAAATAAAGAGCATCTTCCTCTCAGTCCTGACTATGCCATAACAGAGATGCAATTCTAAAAAGCCTTGTGCTTTCTGTTTATTTCTGAAACGTGGATTGTGAACTGGTGTTATTTGCCCTCTATTCCTGAGCAGCTGTTGAACTGAAGGCACATGGACTTTTGAGGCTATGATCCTAGAAGGGTACTCAGAGCAGTTGAAGTGGCTGTATGTTCTTGCTCTTTTGTATGATGCAAAAAAGTAATTTTGACTAAGAGAGTCCGATATCAATTGTGATGTATTAGTTATATAGGGCTGTGAAGGCCTGGCATTTGTGGTACAAGGCTTTGCCCTAATACCTCTTTTTCTTCCTTTCTTGCTTCTTCCTGTAATATTTTGCCTGTTACTTTGATTTTTAGCAGCAATTACTTGCAGTCAATTAAATAAAAGTGTAAGGGTTGAATATTATTACTAGCAAATGGGGACGTTTTGCTCATTGGTACATTTGTGTTTTATTGCAAAGGGTCCTCAACTATGTGACTGACTCAGACTGCCCTGTGGTAGTGTAGGGAGAGGAGGAAAAGGGAAGAAATAGAAGACAGGGGTCATTGTATTTGTTTCACTGGGAGAATCTGCTTTGCCAAAGCAAGTTCATGTTGACTTTCTAAGTATTTGAACAGTTCTTTCAATACATTTTTATTTAGCACTTTCCCTGTGTCTGCCACTGGGATACCAGATACCAGAGTGAATAAACAGATCAAAAACCCCTGACCCTGTGGAACTTGAAGTCTCTGGAGCAAAGAGAAAATGGAAAGATAAATAAGGCTAGGCATGGTGACTCATGCCTGTAATCCCAGTACTTATGGAAGCCAAGATGAGAGAACGGCTTGAGCCCGGGAGTTCAAGACCATCCTGGGCAGCATAGCGAGACCTCATCTCTACAAAAATAAAATAAAATAAAAAACATTATCTGGACATGGTGATGCATGCCTGTGATCCCACCTACCTGCAAGGCTGAGGTGAGAGGCTGCACTCCAGTCTGGGCGACACCTGAGACCCTGACTCAAAAAAAAAAAAAGGAAAGAGAAATAAGAAAAAAATATTTATTTAAAACACATATCTAATTTTGTGTATGTATACACACACAGAATTATATAAAGTTACTTATATAACCAATGATGGGTTCAGGAGGGGAGGTACACAGGAAGGATTGAATAATTTGGGATATATGCCTAGAGTGGCCTCACTGAGGTAACGTGTAATTTAACCAGTACAATTCTCTCCTTGTCTGGATGGGATGGTCTTATAGCATCATCTCACATGGTACTTTTCCTTGGAGTCATAGAGGTGTTAATCATGATGAACTGATGATAAAAAAAAAATTCTCCCCTTGGGAGGCACAGATCCTGACTTGGTCACATCAGAAGGTTCCCTGCTGGACATCCTCATTGAGCCTGTCCTGCTTCTTGGGGTCAAACAACACCAGTACATGATTAATGGAGATTTTAAATGAATGACAAAATGCTTTTGACCAATAACCTGATGAGAATTTGTCTTTTATCAGGAGAAATTTAACCCAAATTCAAGGGACACAAGAAATATTGGTTTTGTTTGTTTCTGTGTCTGTTTTTTTAGCTTTGTTTTCCTTGTGGTGCTCATTGAGGGAGTTTAGTCTAGTGATTAAGAGCATATTCTTTACAGAGAAACAATCATAGGTGTAATTCCTACATCCAACATTAATTGACTCTTGGACCTTGAACAAATCATTTAAAGTTTATAACCCTCAATTTTCTCATCTGAACAATGGTAGCATTTGTATTTACCTTACCTGATGATTTGGTGGAGTTCCTACAAGTTATTGTTGAGTAAGGAAAAAAGGCAAAAAGAAAATGTGATATGAAGACAAATGGTTATCAAAAAAAGTAAAATGTATGTGTTCATGTGTGTGTATATAATATATATTCATCCATAGACATGCATATAAAGGAATATGTAAATACCAATTTGGAAGAAAAGTTTTGCCTACTATGTCAAGGAGACCAGTAAGGAAGGAATGTGGAAGCCAAACATAAAAAAAGAGAGATAGCAAAAATTTTTATTAACAAAAATCATGTATATGGCCACATTTATGCATTTATGTTAAATTAGATATAGGTAAATAATATAAAGCATTTTAGAAATAATATCTACTTTAAAATATTGTCATGAAAATGAAATGAGATGTCACATATTAAAAGCACCGTGCCTACTTAAGAAATAAATAGTAGACTATAGTAGGCAATATAAAAATCTTGCTTGTACTGGTTTTCTAGAATCAAATTTGATAGTTTTGTTTTCTTTTGTTTTATTTTAAATTTGAACAATTCTTGTGTGTATGTGTGTGTGTGTGTGTGTGTTGGAGTCTCACTCTGTTGCCCAGGCTGGAGTGCAGTGGCACACTCATGGCCACCCCTGCATCAACCTACTGGGCTCAGGCAATCCTTTTGCCTCAGCCTTCCAAGTAGCTGGAACTACAGGAGCGCACTACCATGCCTGGCTAATTTTTTGATTTATTGTAGAGATGAGGTCTCGCCAAGTTGCCCAGGCTGTTCTTGAACTCATGGACTTAGGCAATCCTCTCACCTCAGTCCCCCAAAGTGCTGGGATTACAGGCTTGAGCCACTGCGTCCGGCCAAATTTGAACAATTCTTAAGTATTAACACTGATGTGTAAATCTACATGGGGATACAATTTTTTGAACTTAGATTGAAAGAAATGTTTAGCTCTTGATAAGCATTTGTTTTCTGTAGCGGGAGTAGTGGAAGAACATAGGTACTTTGGCAAATAGTGATGTTTGCATACGTGTGTACACACATACATGCAAATTAGAATTAACAAACTTCATGAACGAGTTGAATGTGTGTTTCAATGATAGTGACAAGACAGAATGTGCCAGAGGACTTCATGCTCTCTTACAGCTTCTTTACAGATCTGTTGACACTTTGGGAAGAAACTTGTCTGCCATTTATTCATTTTAAGTGGAAATTGAAGGAATAAAAGTTTTCTCTCTTTCTTTCCAGTAACAAAGAACATGTTCTTGAGCTGTTTGTTCTTTGTGTCCCTGTCTGAAGAGAGACGTTTGCTTGTTCCTTTTTCTCCTTTCTCTCTTCTGCATAGTCCCATTTCCCCCTTCTTTTTATTGTCATTTTCCCTGCTTCCTTCTCCCTAGTAATAATTTATAAGCCTTCCCAACTTGAAGGATAAATATTGTTGTTCATTTTTTCCCTGCAAGGAAACTGCACATTTTTAAAAAAGAATGCTTTATAGCCAGGCTCGGTGGCTCAGCCTGGAATCCCATACCTTTGGAAGGCTGAGGTGAGTGAATTGCCTGAGCCCGCGGGTTCGAGACCCGCCTGAGCAGCGAGACCTCATCTCTACAATAAATAAAAAAATCAACCAGACGTGGTAGCGCATGCCTATAATTCCGGCTACTCGGAAGGCTGAGGCGGAAGGACCGCCGGAGCCCAACAGGTCGAGGCTGCGGTGGCCGGAAGCAGCCACTGCACTCCTGTCTGGGTGACAGAGTGAGACTCCAACTCAAAAAATAAAAAATAAATAAAAAAGTAAAAAGAATGCTTTAGATATAGTTCCGCACCAAGTACAAGGATGGATCTTCCTGTTCACTTTTGAGGCTAGAGTTTGAGATGAAGGAAACCAAATTGGGGAGAGATTGTGATCTAGATTTCTACCCTTGTCTCCTCATGTTGTGATGCCATGAAAACTGAATTAGTGAGAGCAAGAGATAAGAAATGGCAGTGGCAGGTGCTGACTTCCAGTCTGGAAAGAAATAGGGAAATAAGGCTGGGCACAGTGGTGTACACCTGTAGTCCCAGCTACTTGGGAGGTTGAGGCAGGAGTATCTCTTGAGTCCAGGAGTGTGAAACCAACTTGGGTAGTATAGCAAGACTCTTTCTTTAAAAAAATAAATAAGATCGGCCCAGGCAACTTGGAGAGACCTCGTCTCTACAATAAATTAAAAATTAACTGGGCGTGGTAGTGCGTGCTTGTGGTTCCGGCTACTTGGAAGACTGAGGCGGAAGAATCACTGGAGCACAGTGGGTCGACACTGGAGTGGCTGTGAATGTACCACTGCACTCTAGCCTGTGCGACACAGTGAAACTCCAACTAAAATAAATAAATAAATATTAAAATAAAGTAAAATAAAATTAAAATAAACAAAATAGAAAGAAAAAGAAAATAAATAGGAAAGTGGGCAATATTTGGGCCCAAGAAAACTGAATGGAGAGCAAACAGCCTATGGAAGCAGAAGAGGAAAAAGCCATTAGTGAGTGCTAATTGTGTCTTGAATGTGCACTCCATCCTTAACGTGTCATTACATTGAATTCTCAGCAGTTCTCCAAGATAGTAGTCAATATCACCCCACTTTACAGAGAAAGAAACAGAGGCACAGACAGGTTAAACACTGCCCAAGGCTGCTCATTTCCTAAAAAGGTAGACTTAAAAGGAGAGGCAAGGATAGGGAAGACCATTCCATCAGAGGCATTGTGGATAGCTGCCCAGGCTGGGTCTCTGCTGGTCAGATGAGGCTAGAAGGAAGTTCAGCTCATTGTCTGGCACATGAAGTGGTGACTTGGTTTCAGTACTGATTTTTCCATCCCATTGCCTTCATGCCAAACAATGTGAGGTCACGCCTACAGCTGCTTCCTCTTGGTAGGAATGGGTGTGGGAACCCATGTTCACCGTGGCAGAAGCTAAAAGCGAGCCCTGTCACACGCTGACTAGAATGATGGAACAATTGGGAGACAGGAGAGCTGCTCGTGCTCGTTGGCTCAGCTATCACCAGAGGGAACCCATTTTCTTGGTGGCTTCTTGGATCTGTCAAAAGAATCAAGTATCAGGAACCATGAAGTTGCACCATCACCTTGATCTTGGGCCCTGGCTTATTGAGAGGAGCTCTCTGACTCTGGGTGATGATCTCCTTGGGATGACGGTGTTTGTGTCATTTTGAGATTTGTATCAAATGATCATAACACAAATTATTAATTTTCTAGCATAAGACCACATACATTTATTGTTTTTCTGAAGTTGATATTTATTTGACAATTCTGTCAGACAGTATGAATAGGGGATGAACCATAATGGTAGTTGATTGTTTAGTTCCATGGATAAGGTAGAGGTGGAATGAAAATGTGAGCTATAATTCATATTTACAGAAGTTGCTTCTCTAGTTTGAATTTATATCAGACTCACACATGTAAAAATATATTTCTAAGTTTATTTTTTAAATGTTTTCTTGGCTGGGCATGGTGGCTCATGCTTGTAATCCCAGCACTCTGGGAGGCCAAGGTGGGGGATCGCTTGAGGCCAGGAGTTTGAGACTAGCCTGGACAATACAGTGAGATTTTTGTCTCTACAAAAAAATTTTAAAAATTAGCTGTGCATGGTGGTGCATGTCTATAGTCACATTTACTCGGGAGGCTGAGGCAGTAGGATTGCCTCAGCATAAGAGGTCAAGGCTATAGTGAGTGGTGATCATGTCACTGAAAAAAAGTGTGTTTTCTCCCTATGTGACTTCTCTTTTTCTGAGAGTCAGTAGCATGTGGGCAAGCAGTAGTGTAACTATTATTGTTCCCTACATTTTTGTCTACTAGAGAAAACATTTTAAAAATTTAAGAAGACAGCCGAGCACGGTGGCTCACACCTATAATCCCAGCACTTTGGGAGGCCGAGGTGAGAGGATTGCCTCAGCCCATGAGTCTGAGACCAGCATGGTCAACTTGGTGAGACCTCATCTCTACAATAAATCAAAAAAAGTAGCCAGGCATGGTGTGTGTGCCTGTACTTCCAGCTATTTGGAAGGCTGAGGCAGAAGGATCATCTGAGCCCAGCAGGTTGAGGCTGTGATGGTCAAGAGTGTGTCACTGCACTCCAGCCTGGGTGACAGAGTGAGACTCCAACTCAAAAAAAAAAAAAAAAAAATTAAGACAATGAAAGTCCATCCCCTTACTAGAAATAGTAAAACAATGACCTGAACATGAGCTTCTAATTTAAGTGAAAAATCTTCGCCTGACAATTCTGAGACAGTTGATGAATTAATATTCTTCATGTACATAAGATAATTAGCATTCTCTTTAAGATTGTCTCAGTTTTGAATTATAGTCAATGATGCTGAATACACTCTACAGAAATGAGTTGTCTCGATTTTTTTCTACATGTACCCAGAGGCGTACACTGGAACCCTATACTGCAGATGAGTTCTAGAAGGTTAACTGTGGAAGTTTCACATTGGCAGTTTCACTTTGGCAGCTTTCAGACAGGACAATGGAAATTGCTATAATCAGCTAACCCAGTTCATACAGTGTTCCGCCTCTTTTGTTCTTAAGCTGAGTAAATAATGCTTTGCATTCCAGCTCTTTATTTAATGTCATCAATAGCATACCTCAAGACCACTTTTTTGGCAGTATGTTAATGAATGTTTTGTTGAACCCTTTTCATCTATCAAGGACCGAAATATCTGATTTAATCTCAGTGGTGCTTAAAATAAACTTTTGTGGCTTAGTTGACTCAAGCTCTTATTTGAAAGCTATTCTTGTAGGCAGGGCCAACGGGAAGGACTGTGACTCCTCTGCAAGCTGCCCCTGGGATCACGTTGGAAGCCATGGAAGCCATTGTCAGGTTTCTTGACTTGGACTTGACTTCTACTCTCTGAACAGTCTGGATAGTAGGTGGATCTTGGTTCAGTGGTTTTTGTAGGTTTTTAGATTAAATAAATTGTCAAATAGTTTCCTCAAATGAGAAGCTCCTTGGTCGGGGAGATCAGGGCCTTGGGAAGGGACAGAGGTCAGTCAGCTCTATTCCCACTCCATCCTCTGTCTTCTGTTCAGGTCTTGCAGGACAAGGCAGGCTGAGGGATGAGGGGCATGTCAGGGATCATCTTGGGCTCCAGGAAACATCTAGAAAGCTAAGCCAGCAGTTTTCGAAAGTTTTTAGCTCTTGTATTTAGTTTCCATTTTCTTCTTCCTCCTTTTTCAGGATTGCCTTGTAGTGGAAATGGAAGATAAAGTTCTAACTGTGGTAAGTACATGTTCAGAAAAGTTGTTGCTATATTTCTTTACCAAAGGCCATGGGAATTATGTTAATTAAAGCAAATGCACTGTGAATGATTACTTCAGGAGAGACTTTGAAATATTGGCTTTTGGAATATGAGTCTATTAATTTAGGGGAAAGGGAAAGTATAAAAGTTATTTAACAAGACTGACTACTGTGAAAATGCTTAGATGAGAGCTATATTAGGGTCTCTGTTTTGTTTTGTTTTTCTTCTGAACCTTTTTGTCAGGGTACAATGATACATAAATTTCTAGCGAACCTGCTGGTCAGAGTTACACTGTTATACAAATTTCTCTTTAGGACCATTTTGATTAAATAGAAGTTCTTGGCAAAAGCCGTACAACGAAGGGGGCATGTGCTGTAGCTGTTTAAAGAGCATTTTGTAACTATTCATCCTCACTTCCTCCTTTTGACATTAGCCAGCCTGCGCTCTTTTGATAAGACCTTGCTTCTACTGAAGTTGAGGAATTTAGCAATGAAACTGCTATAAATATATTTTCCATAAATAGGGAGGCTTAAACAAATTGGGGGAATATAAAAAGTGTCACTTCTTGGATTCTCCCACTTGGAAAGAAAAATCACTCTCTGGAATTTCCTGGTTTCTTTGGTTGTTAATCTTGAAAGGTTAGATGAATCTGATTGGGGAAATGCCAAATGTAACCACTGTGACTTCTATGTGGAGACCCTTTAATAAGGATCTTCACATTGTGTCTGTTGAGTTTTACCTTGTCAGTGTTTGACATTCAGAGAATGTGAGTGATCACTAAAAAGATCAGAGACCTAAATATAAAATGCAAAACTATAAGCCTTCTGGAAGATAACATGAGAGAAAATATAGGTGACCTTGGGTTTGACGATGAGTCTTTACATAGAACAACAAAAGTACAATCCGTGAAAGAAAAATTTAAAATTTGACAACTAAAAACTCTGCTCTGTGAAATGCACTGTTCAGAGAATGAAGAGACAAGCCACATCCAGGGAGAAAATACTTCAAAAACATATCAGATAAATCACTCTAATGCAAAATATACAAAGAAACCCTAAACTCAATAATAATAGAATAGACAGCCCAATTAAAAATCAGAAAAGGCATCTGACAGACACCTCACCAAAGAAGACATACAAATGGCAAATAAGCACATGAAAAGGTGTCCAGCATCATCTGTAATAAGGGAATTTCTGATTAACACAACAGTGAGGGCTGGGTGCGGTGATGGTGGCTCATGCCTTGTAATCCCAGCACTTTGGGAGGGTGAGATGAAAGGATCGCTTGAGTCTAGGAGTTTAAGACCAGCCTAGGAACCATAGCAAGACCTCATCTCCACAAAAAATAGAAAAATTAGCTGGATGTGGTGGCAGGTACCCATAGTCCCAGCTATCACGAGGCTGAGGCTGAAGGATCACCTGAGCCCAGGAGGTTGAGGCTGTGGCAGTCTGTGATCTGTGCCACTGCACTCCAATCTGGGTGACAGTGAGACTCTGACCAAAAAATAAATAAAGCTTTTTACACAAAGCTGAAATAGTGGCACTGTTCTCACGGATTGTAAATATGGAGCCCAAATGCCACATGTTCATTGAGCGGAGTGATCAAAGTGATTGCTGACCAGGACTCAAAATTTTGGGTGAAGTGCATTTCTTTAGAAATCAACTTGAAATACATGTGGTTGATGATTGAACTTTGCTATCTGCCTCTCCTGTTCTAGGTCAAGGTTTTAAATGGCATCTGCGACAAAACCATCCGCTCCACTACGGACCCCGTTATGAGCCAGTGTGCATGCCTGGAGGAAGTTCACCTTCCCAACATTAAACCTGGGGAGGGTCTGGTAGGTTCTAATAACACAGGGTTTATTTTCAAATAACACACACTGTCCATTTACTAAAGTTGTTTTGTTTTTAATTCCGTATTGCTTTCACTATAATTCTGAAAAGTAGAATTAAATGCGTACCTTCCATTATGTTGTTAGGAATTTACTCTTTTGAATGTTGTTGGTATGTTTTCTATCTTCAAAGTATTTTAAAAAATACAATTTTAAAACTATATACTCTTTTTTTTTTAAGTTGAAGTCTCTGTCGCCCAGGCTGGAGTGCAGTGGCACGCTCATGGCCACCCCAGCATTGACCTGCTGGGCTCAGACGATCCTTCCACCTCAGCCTTCCAAGTAGCTGGAACTACAGGTGCGCGCTACCACACCCAGCCAGTTTTTTTATTTATTGTAGAGGTGAAGTCTTGCCAAGTTGCCCAGGCTGTTCATGGACCTGTGGGCCCAGGCAATCCCCTCACTTCGGCCTCCCAAAGTGCTGGAATTACAGACTTGAGCCACTGTGCTTAGCCAAAACTATATACTCTTATCTTGAAGGAATTGCCTTAGCAATTTTAATTTTTGGACTTAGCAGTGCAAGGAGGTACAAAACACGTGCACAGACCAGGTGCAGTGGCTTATGCCTATAATCCCAGCACTTTGGGAAGTTGAAATAGGAGGATTGCTTGAGGACAGGGGTTCGAGACGAGCTTAGGCAACATGGCAAGACTTCTTCTCCACAACAACAACAAAAATAAAATAAAATAATTAGCTGGGCCTGGTGGTGTGCACCTGTAGTCCCAGGTACTCAGGAGACCAAGACAGAAGGATTGCTTGAGCCCAGGAGTCAAGGCTATGGTGAGCTGTGGTTGTGCCATTGCACTCCAACCTAGATGACAAAGTGAGACCTCACCTCAAAAAAACAAAACAAAACAAAACAAAAACACTACTACTAACAAAAACTTACACAAAGGAAAGGTGGTCTCTGGGTACAAAATCAGTAACATCTGCACCTAAATGTCTATTAGCACTTAGGATGAATGTGAGAACAGGCTGATTGGAGGCAATAATTCTTAAGAAAAATTTCAAAGTATTTCATAAGCCACGTACAAGCTGTATAATAACAAACCCTGAGACTACATACAGGTGATCTAGTACTTCGCATGCATCCTATGGGATTAATTTGCTGAAATTTAAAGGAAGAAACTGTGAGGCCCATTAATTAGTGTAGAGGCTTTGAGTCAGAGAGAGTTGGGTTTAAATCCCAGCTCTCAAGGGATTTAACCTTTTTACATGTCAGTTTACTTATGGGGCTGTTGAAAGTATTAAATCAGATTATGAGTGCCAGGTGCCAGGTGTGGAGTGCATAATACATGTGCATTCGTGGTGGCTGCAGCTCCTATTGCTGGCATGGAGGAGAAAGAGAAGGAAAAGGAAGAGGAGAGGGAGGAGAAGAAGGGGAAGGAAGAGGAGGGGGAGGAGGGTGTCGGGAGCTGTGGGGAGATGTTAAGGAAGTCTCTGCTCTTAGATAGGAAAACAAAAGTCAACCAAATATGGACAAGCCCACATTCCTAACAGAAATGTGCATACTGACGCTGCTAAGCTTCAGAGTAAATGACAGATTATAACACATGAAGTTTAAATGGGGTGAACTTCTTGGAGGTGGGTTTATAGTCAAGTATTGGAGGAGAGGGCAGAAATGGAGTTGTCGTTTCAGATGGCAAAATTATACAAAATTATACAAGGGGAGTACCGTACATAGGGGAGAAACTGATGTTGTGATCTGTGAGGGAAGGTGTCAGGGCATGAAGGGAGTGGAGAGGACCCTGAAGGCGTTAATATTTAATGAGCTTCTCATCACAGAGTTGTGTAGGTTGCTGAGCAGGACAAGTTCCACATGATTTCTGAGGAAGATGCACATTATTACTACATGGATACCAGGGTGATAGCTACTTTTTTGCTCTCTTTCTCATCTTATAACAGCTTAATAAAGAGTTTTGCTGGGCATGGTGGCTCATGCTTATAATCCCAGTACTTTGGGAGGCCAAGGAGAGAGGATCGTGTGAGCCCAGGAGTTAGAGATCAACCTGTGCAACATAATGAGACCCTGTCTCTTAAAAACAACAACAACAAAACAATTAGCCGGGCATGGTGGTGGTATGTGCCTGTAGTGTCAGCTTCTTGGGAGGCTGAAACAGAAGGATTGCCTGAGCTTAGGAGGTCAAGGCTGCAGTGAGTTGTGATTGTGCCACTGCACTGCAGCCTGGGTGACAGAGTGAGGCCCTGACTCGAAACCAATTTTTTAAAATTACAATAAAAATAAAAAGTTTTGTAGATAGTGTCCATCTGCAGAAATATTTCCTCAATGATACAGCATTCACCTCTGAGTTTTGCCTCTCAGACCTGTTCCGTGGGAGAATATTCATCCTTATGCTTCCCTTAAATTGTAGTGTGCCTGTGACTAATTTGCTAGTTCTGTTGTGTTATTTAGCAATCTGTGTTTGTGCATCCTGGTCTGGGCTGTTAGTGAATCGAATAAGTCACCCTGCAATTGCTGCTGAGACCAAATTTAAATGAATATACTGTGTCCCTAGTCAAAGAGACGGTAAGAAAGTGCAGTTTTTGTTTGAAGTGCCTCGCTTATTCCAGAGGTCCCAGAAAACTCCTCCATCGTCAGGGTTGTGGCACAGTTGTTTAAGCCTGGTACTCAGGTTATATATCAAAGAGATCTCTGATTTGATTTCTTTCACTCCTATGCTGATTTGTTCAGTTTCTCTTCACCATCCTCTGGGTCTTGTTTCAGGAGGCTTAAAAATGAGCATTGTTCTGAAGGGACTGTCTTTAGCATTGTGTAAGTTTTAAGTCTCACCCACGACTGTATCTCTAAATGGTGGTGGAGTAATGAGATCATGTATTTGTGACTCACTCCAGGGCATGTACATCAAATCAACTTATGATGGATTGCACGTGATTACTGGAACCACAGAAAATGTAAGTATATATCCATTACATGTAAAAGTTGTATGTTTAAACAAATTTTAAACGTGGGCATACTGTTTTGTTATATGTAGTGAGGGCGTGGGAGTCTGTTTTGTGTATTTCTGTTGATAGAATATGGTTTGTCACCAGCTGTGGTCAATTTATTATTTAAATTGTCCTTTATTGCTCTTGCTTATACACCTTGCCTAGTTTCCACCCCACCCTTGAGTTCACTATTCCTTTTGCACCCTGAAAGTGTTGAGCCATAAATCCAGAAACGAAGATCCCTTAGTTGTTGAGAATCCCTCTTATAAGAACTGAGGTTTGTGGCCGTATGTGTCAAATTTTTTTTGTTTAATAGAATTTTTATATGTTTTGGGATTTTTGCACATGTTTTTAAGGTTGTTTTTGGTAATATTTGGCATGATATGGAAATTTAATTCTTCCCTACACCTGCCATCCCTTGAATAGAGTAAACAGGTCTGTGAGGAACTTTCATAGACTGTTTATTTCCTTCAAGAAATTCTACTACACGTAAGATTGCTCTTCAGCCTCCCCCCCCCCCAACATACTAATTTGTAAAAATTAGAGCTATTGGATGCTTTCTTATGGCTGGCTTTGGAATGGCATTGATATGAAACTAAAAATGTTTTAATAGCATCCCTGGGTCTGTCTCAAAGAAGCATATGACTGGAGAATTAATCTAGTTAATCAACTAAGGCAGGAGGAAATATTTCCCAAAAGTACAGGAAATTTTGGTAGCTACTTTTTCTAATTTGTTTGGTGGAGACATGTGTCTAATTTTGAGCTTCAGCTGCTAGACCTTTTGAGAAAAGAAAATGAGATGATCTTTGAGGGTTTGTGATAAGCACTTGATATTTGTAGTAAGAAAATGACATGGCTTAAGGCAGTGAATGAATTATAAATGCACTGTGTGGTTCTGGCAGACAAAGGGGTAGAAGATGGTGGTGTTTTTAAGCAGTTTGTGTTGAGCTACAGTGAGAAAACCCTGGGAATCACTCGGAATTTTTATCCCATGTCACTCTCCTAGGCAGAAACAACATAGGAAGCTCTGCTTTTTGGATTTGGGGAACAGTACTAAAGAAAAAAGTCACAAAATGCAACATATAAGGCTGGGTACAGTGGCTCACGTCTGTAATTCCAGCCCTTTGGGAGGCCAAGGCAAGAGGATTACTTGAATGCAGGAGTTTGAGACCAGCCTAGGCAACATAGTAAGACCTCGTCTCTACAAAAAGTCCAAAAAATAAGCTGGGCATGGTGGTGTGCATCTGCAGTCTCAGCTACTTGTGAGACTAAGGTGGAAGGATCCCTGAGCCCAAGAGGTCAAGGCTGTGGTGAGCTGTGGTTGTACCACTGCACTCCAGCTTGAGTATGGGAGTGAGACCCTGGCTCAAAAAAAAGAAGAAAGAAATTATAGCATATGAGTCTTTCTTTGTCCTTGTACCACTCAGTACGTTGTTTGGGAGTTAGATGGCTTTTTTTTTTTTAATGGGGATTGTCATTTTAGTTTTTAAAGAGTTGGAGTCTTGCACTCTAGTAATTTGGTGATGACCTTGTTTGGCTTAACCAGACCAGCGTGGTCTGGTTACCAAAAGACATGGAGTTTCTTTCCTTTGATGCCCCTCCCCCTACCTTTTTAAGCAATAAGATGAGAGTGGAATGAGAACTAAACAAAGCTACTTTAGACTCAAATGAGATGTCAAATGTCATTCATGACACATTCCCTGAATTCTTGCCGGAATCATAGCACTGGCTGACAGATTCCGGGTTTGCCTCGATGTGGTTCAGCCTCGTGCTCCCACATAGGACGGTATGGAAATCATCTCAGAGAGCGACGGTTACCAAAAAAGAAAGCTCGTCTTATTCTATATGGTAATTGACTTGAAAATGTCACTTGTACCTTCAGTCATTCCACTTGCGTTTTTGGAGTACCTGGACTGCTCTAGGCTATGTCTAAATCTAATGATGCTAGGCCAGGTATTCTAAATACCTGGGAGGTTGAGGTAAGAGCCTACTTCTCAAGACTTAATTGGGAATATTTTATACTTCATGTTAGAAATTTTATACTTAACAATCAGTAGAAAATGCCAGTTCCAGGTCAGCTTTTTGGCTGTTACTTAAGGTCTCTGTAACTTCAGTGTTGGTGTTCTTACGGAAGCCTCGTGTGGGGATGGCAATGGCTGCTGCAGGTCACCCGTTGCTTTGCCTGAATTGACTCTATGTCATTCTATCTTGGACTCCACACAGAAGCAATAGCCAGCAGGTCATTCTCAGGTCTTCAGTCTATTTTTTTCTGAAGGTTTTTTTTGAAGGTTACTTGAGATTGAAGGACAGACTGACAATGTCTGGTGATTCTCTCTCTGATATCTTTTTTTTTTAATGTTGTTTGAGACCTTGACAGGAGTCTTGATACGACCTCATCCGTATTCCCATCCTTCACCCTCGTGATTAGGTTGGGAGTTAGATTAGCCTATGAAGAATGGTGCATTCTTCTCCAGGTCATCACCCTTCTGCAGCAAACCAGCACAAGCATCATCTTTCAGGAGTGCGACTCATGGCAAAGATAGGCAGAAGCCACTGCCCTGGGGAGGACGTTGGGCCCTAGGTCTCTCTTTACCAGTGTTCTGCCAAGCACAGCTCTTAATCACTTGGTAGGACATCTGAGAGATGAATGCATGAGGATCCCCAGGAAGGAAAGTCAGTAAAGGACACTGGTGCTTATTGTTTAAGATTGAACATCTGTAGACAAGGACTTTGTGGCCTGGGGACCATCTTTGGTAAAGTGAAGCTTATCTTAAATGAATACCTCGTCCAGGAAGATGAACTAGACTGTACTTATTAGGATCAAAATGACCAAAGTAGGTCTGTCACTATGTGTAAAGTATCTGAAACACAGGGGCAAAAAGGAGCATAGATAAATTCATCTTTTAGGCCGGGCTTGGTGGTTCAGTCTATAATTCCAGCACTTTGGGAGGCCGAGGAGAGTGAATTGCCTGAGTCTGTGGGTTTGATACCAGCCTGGGCAACTTGGTGAGCCTTGTCTCTACTATTAATAAAAATTTGCTGGGTATGATAGTACGTGCCTGTAGTTCCGGCCACTTGGAAGGCTGAGGTGGAAGGATCGCTGGAGGCCAGCAGGTCAACGCTGGGGTGGCCATGAGCATGCCACTGCCCTCCAGCCTGGGTGATGGAGTGAGACTCCAACTAAAAAAAATTAATAAATTAAATAAATAAACAAATGCATCTTTAAAAAGTGACTTAAGAGACTCAAGGTGGGCCATCTCTCTGTGATATCCTTGTCTCTCAGGTAAGTACTGCTGGCGGGTTAAATATTTTTAAAAATAACTGTCAGTTACCTGTGCCTTGCAGTGGGCCTAGATGAGGGAATGTTTCTGCAGTGTAATGCTGCTTGCTAATTTCTTGATGAGCCTATCACAACAGTTGAGTGGGAAAATTCGGCAAGTGTGTCCTGGGTTTGGTGCGGTTCCTCTCCTCAGGTGCAAAGGTGCTGATTTTTGGTTAGTTGTAAGTTGTTTCAAGATTCAGCCAGTTTTTTAAGTTATAAAATTAAATACTCTGGTCTAGATAATGTTTGATTAGAATATGGACCATCAGGAGTTTCTCCTTTCTTCTTTTCTTGGTCATATGAGATATCTTAAACATTAAGAATTTCTAGGTTGCCTATATGAACAAGAGTACTCTGAGCAAAATAGTTGACAAATAGATTATATCCTTTATATGTATATTTAGTTGTGGTTGTAAATTAATAGCAAGGTACTATTTGGAGGAAGCAAAGTTCAAACTTTGTGTGTGTGTGTGTTTGGAGTCAGAATCTCACTGTCGCCCAGGCTGGAGTAAGTGGCATATTCACAGCCACTGTAACCTCGACCTGCTGGGCTCAGGTGATCCTTCCACCTCAGTCTTCCAAGTAGCCGGGACTGCAGACACATGCCACCACACACAGCTAATTTTTGATTTATTGTGACGAGTTATCGCCATGCTGCCAGGCTGATTTTGAATCCCTGGGCTCAGGCAATCCTCTCACCTCAGCCTCCCAAAGTGCTGGGATTACAGGCATGTGCCTGGCCTTGAACTTTGTTTTGATACTGAAAACTCATTTTTTAGAAATTTAATCTGAAAATGAAAAATAAGTTATTTAAAGAAATTTCTGTTGACACCAACTTTCTATTTGAATAAAATTGCAATAGAATGTAAAAAAAGATGGAATGAAAATAAGATATAGTTTTAATAAGGAAATAGGATGACAGAGTAACAAAGATGATCTTTAAAAAATAACTGTCAGTTACCTGTGCCTTTCACAGGTTTCAATCGTTGACCAGCTTTTACAAGATTAATTTTGATTAATTACATGTTCAACTGTTGATCAGCTTTTACAAGATTAATTTTGATAGGGATATGTGTTAGGTGTTTTTTAGATAGCTTTTATCAGCTAATTTGATGGTGTGTTCAGACTCTCCCTGATAAATTAGATGAGCCTGGCTGTTCTAACTGAGAGATGATTGGTTGTAACAGACACTAGGAAAATGGATGACACAGTGTTCACATTAGGTCCCATATGCTATGTAGTCTCAGGGGACTAAAGGTACATTGTTGTATTGTTCCTGAGAACATTTTGTTTCCGTTGCTAGCTGTCTACAGAAGAAGGAAAGAAGTAGTAGGAACAGAAAGTAATGGGTTTAAAAATTAAGACAGGTTTTTTAAAATTTTATTTTATTTCTGTGCAGTCTCCTGCAGACAGATCTCAGAAGATTCATGCAGGTGACGAAGTCATTCAAGTTAATCGACAAACTGTGGTGAGTTTGTTTATTGAGACTGAATTTCCCCCTTTAGAACTTTTAACTAAATGCTTTATTTAAATTGAATAGAAAGTTTAATAAAATGAAATCCATTTTAAGTTTTTAAAAATGTGCAGTTCATATCCTGTTTCCCACTATCTTGCATAGTGCTTGCCTGAACATAATATCCGTGTCTGCCTATTGGTTTCTGTTTCCTCCCAACTTTGACTTCCTTGACATAAATTTGTAAACTTGTTTTTTCATTATTCATGAGCAAGTCCTCCTTCTTCATTTTCTTTCTTTGAAGGTGGGGTGGCAACTAAAAAATCTAGTGAAGAAATTGAGAGAGAATCCCACAGGAGTCGTGTTACTGCTTAAGAAACGCCCTACCGGGTCTTTCAACTTCACTCCTGCTCCCCTGAAAAACCTCCGCTGGAAGCCACCGCTCGTGCAGGTATCTTACTCACTGTAAACCCTCAACTAGCATCACACATGAACACAGGCCAGTGTCTGGTTTGTTTAAAAAAAAAAACAACTAAAATATGAAGGTAGGCCTGGCATGGGGGCTTAATCTCAGCACTTTGAGAGGCTGAGGTAGGAGCTTGAGCCTAGGAATTTAAGACCAGCCTGGGCAACATAGTAAGACCTCATCTCTGCCCCCGCCAAAATTAAAAGGGACTGGTTTCAGGAGTTTGCTTGTATATAACACAGACCTCTAATCCTGCTTATGTGAACATATAAATTCTAGAGCTACATAGAACAGTGTAGTAGCAACCAACCATATATGACTATTAAAATAATTAAATTGAAAGTTCATCACTAACCACATTCAGATGCTGAATATTCATGTATGGCTGGTGGCTGCCGTATAGGACATTGTGGATATAGATATTTCCATTATTGCAAAAAGTTTATTCTAGTCCTTTTCCTTTCTCATTTCAAATACATACAAGGGAGGGCCCCAGCCAGGCGTGGTGGCTCACACCTATAATCCCAGCACTTTGGGAGGCTGAGGTGAGAGGATTGCCTGAGGCCACAGGTTCAATACCAGCTAGTCAACTTGGCGAGACCTCATCTCTACAATCAATAAAAAAATTAACCAGGTGTGGTGGCGTGTGCCTGAAGTTCTAGCTACTTGGAAGGCTGAGGCAGAAGGATCACCTGAGCCCAGCAGGTCGAGCCTGTGGTGGCGGCCGTGAGTGTGCCACTGCACTCCAGCCTGGGTGGCAGAGTGAGACTCCAACTCAAAAAAAGGGCGGAGCCCCCCAAAACCCAGAATCTATTTATAAGAAATTGTGTATTTATTCTTACATGTTTAAACTTCAGTCACCTTCAGATACTCTCTGTTTGATGCAGTATGTCTATAGGGATGCTTTATCCACTGCTCAAATTTTTGAACAATTTTTGAACTTGTCAATTTTGATGCTGTTTTTGTTTCACCTCTTCCACATCGGCAAAATGTTTCCCTTTGAGGACTTTTTTCATCTCGGGAAACAAAAATAGTTACTGGGAGTCAGTGAGATCAGGTGAATAGGGAGAGTGGGGCATGAGGGCCATGCCATTTTTGGTCCAAAACTGCTGAACACTCAGTGCAGGGCCGGCAGGTGCGCTCGTGAATCACACATCATGAAACAAGCACATGCATTGAAAGAATCTCTTTAAAAAACGCACTGAAGCTGAACGCAGCCTCTCACAACAACACTAGTTAGTATGCTGGTGCTGATGGATTCCTTGAACACTTATCTAGTAGGGGAAGCCTGTACTACAAGGGTCCCCAAAAATAATTTCAGTTATGTTTTGGTCCCACCTTGTACTTATATTACTGTATTCAGCTTGTTCACTAATCTGAGAGAGACTACATGGGGTTGAGTCTTTAGTGGTGCTTTATTACCAAGGCAGGATGGGGGTGGTGGGAACAGTTCACCTAGTAGAGAGATATATCATGTGATTGCTTAGACATTATATTTAAAATTGTCAGTCTAGGCCAGGCACAGTGGCTCACCCTATAATCCTAGCACTTTGGGAGGATTAAAGTGGGAGGATCGCTTGAGACCAGGAGTTTGAGACCAGCCTGGGCAACATGGTGAGGCCTCGTCTCACACAAAATTTAAAAAATTAGCCGAGAGTGATAGCACACACCTATCATCTAGGGTTACTTGAGCTCAGGAATTTGAGGCTGCCATGATTAGAGGCTACTGCACTCTAGTCTGGACAACAGAGCAAGACTCTGTCTCTAAAAAACTAAAAATAAAAAATAATAAAGGAATTGACGGTCTATGGTGATAAAGACAAACTGACTTGGCTGGGCTTGGTGGCTTATACCTATAATCCCAGCCCTTTGGGAGGCAGAGGTGAGAGGATTGCCTGAGCCCCTGGGTTTGAGACTGACCTGGGAAACATGGCAAGACCTCATCTCTACAAAAAATATGAAGAACGAGCCAGGCAGGGTAGTGTGCACCTTTAATCCCAACTACTTGAGAGGCTGAGGTGGAAGGATCACCTGAGCCCAGGAGGTCGAGACTGAGGTGAGTGGTGATTGTAACACTGCACTTCAGCCTGGGTGACAGAGTGAGACTCTGACTCAAAAAACCTACAAAAAAACCCAAAACAACAACAAAAAAAGGGCAGGCTAGTGTTAGTCTCTTGATTTCTGGAAATTCATTTAAAAAGGGACACTCTTCCACTTTCACTGGGGTTGCTTACTTTCCTGCCAAGGTCCACTAACCGTGCAGTTTGGGGAAGAGGCGATGGTGAGAGAGACACACTTTGTTTTGCTCATGACATGGGGAGATCATCACCATCAAAGTCAGAGACTGTTTTACGGCTTACTTCCAGGGGTTCTTGCGATATCTCCAGGATATTTTTTGAATGTAAACTCTGGAAGACAAATACTCTGTGGTCTTGCTTAGGCCCCGCCCTGGGTCTTTCTCTGAGGTTTCTTCTTCAGTGCCCTGTATACCCGGGGGCTCTCTGTTCCCAGAAGGGAGCTCTTGAATGCTTTCAGCATCACGAGTGTCATCCTGCCATGAAAAGGTGTCCATCATTCTGTGGGTACACCACAGTCCTGGTCATTGAGGGTGATTGATGTGAAAGTAATCCTCAGGGTTTGAATTTCCAGGGAGTTTCTATTCTGAGGGGATACTTCAGCTTACTTGAAAGACTGGATCCTGGCCTCATGTTTTCAGATGTGGTCCAAGGTTGACATATTACGATGTGAATTGGTTACATATGGAGTAGAATGGACAGACTGTGCATTAGTAGCTGAAGTCTCAGGTATGGGGGGGTTAAGTCCCTATCTCTCTGTGACTCAGTCTCTTAGCTGAAAATGAGCTGTCACTCTGTGATTCTCCTGGTGGTCACTTCTGGCTCCCTCACACTGGCTGTTCAGTCCTTCTAATCCTCAGTTCACAGTCTCGCTTCAGGGATATTTTTCATCACAGCCCAGGCTAGGCAGAGTTTAGAGGTAACTTTTTTATGTCTGCCCAAGGCCTAGCACAATCTCACTGGCCGTTACCCAACATTTACATGCCTTGACTCTAAGATTCCCTTGCTGTTCCTTTACCAACCACAAAAGATTTATCATTGCTGTCATTGTTAGACTGTAGAAAAAATAAGATTGAAAGTTCACACAAATTTTTCAAAAACAGATTCTTTGATAATGATTGCATAATGAAAATTAAACTACAGTCGAGCATGGTGGCTCACAGCTGTAATTCCAGCACTTTAGAAGGCTGAGGTGGGAAGATTGCTTGAGCCCAGGAATTAGAGACCAACCTCAGCAACATAGTGAGACCTCATCTCTACAAAAAAAAAAAAATAGCTGGTCATGTTGGCACACACACCTGTGGTCTCAGCTACTTGGGAGGCTGAGGTTACAGGATCGCTTAAGCCCAGGAGTTTGAAGCTGCAGTGAGCCATGATCATGCCACTGCACTACAGCCTGGGTGATGGAGTGAGACTCTGACTCAAGAAAAAATTTAGCTGTATGGATTTTAAATTTTTTAAATTAACTTGTATGCATGTGTATATATAGATAGTACTAAATTAAACAGTATAAAGTTTTGTACTTACTATGGAAAAAAGTATCTCGAACCCTCTACATGTGTTATCTCAATCTTCACTGACACCCTGTGTTGATAACATTTTTGTCCCTATTTATTTCCACTTTATAGATGAGACACAGAGAAGTTGAGTGATTTGCTCAACAATGCACAATTAATAAGAAATACAGCTAGAAAATAAATTTTAAAAATATATATATTAAAAAAAAACCAGGTTTGGTGGCTCATGCCTGTAATCATAGCACTTTGGGAGGCCCAAGCAGAAGGATGGCTTGAGACCATAATAATAATAATAATAATAATAATAATAATAAGTTAAAGAAGTACAGCTAGGATCACACCCAGCATTCCAAGACCATATTCCTAGTTAATAGTAGCATTGCTAGTGATTTTCATGAAGTAACTTACCTAATCCTGGCTATAACTCTATATGAGAGGTGTTGTCAGTGTCCCTCTTTCACAGAGGAGGAAATTGAGGTACCGATGTTTAAGTGATTTGCTCAGAACTGGAATTATAACCCTGGCTTATTTTTTATCACCTCACATATTTCCATATGCTGATAACACCAGAGAATCTGGCCTGTGTTTTCAGCATATATTTCCTGAGTGGTTGGGCCTGAGCCTCTGCTTCTTACCACTATGCGTCTGGTCTTTCAGACCCCTCAGTTCATTCTGAGTGTTTCATGGTAGGACACAAGGTAAGCATTGCTGATATCTGTACACACAAGAATGACCTGGATCCCTGTCATGCATGGGGCTGGTGTTGGTTTGGGGGGGAAGGTCCTCTAAGAACGACCTCCGAGTTGACCTCCTCTCTGGCACTGTCACGTTCCTGTTGCAGACCTCGCCTCCTCCCACGACAACCCAGTCCCCTGAAAGCACCATGGATACCTCACTGAAGAAGGAGAAGCCGGCCATCATGGGTCTTTACATTCCTCCTCCGCCCTCCGTTCCCTACTCACCCCGGTACGTTGATAATCAGTTTTCATGGTGTACTTGTTTCCTGTTTGCATAGATTTTCAATAGTAGGGTGAAGACCATGAGGATCTTGAGAGAGGAAGTTGCTGAACTGCAGCGTGACAGGGATGAACTTGAAACTGCTGTTATAAAGTGTGATTGACCAGGTGCCATGGGTCATGCCTGTAATCCCAACACTTTGGGAGACTGAGGCAGAAGGATCACTTGAGGCCAGGAGTTTGAGACCAGCCTGGACAACATAGTAAGATCCTGTCTCTATAAAAAATAAAAGTAAAAAATTAGTTGAGCAAGGTGGCTCATGCCTGTAGTACCAGTTTCTTGGGAGGCTAATGTGGGAGGATAGCTGAAGCCCAGGAGTTTGAGACTGCAGTGAGCTATGATCCCACCCCTGCACTGCACTCCAGTCTGGTCAGCAGAGCTAGACCCTGTCTCTAAAAATAAATATATAAGAAATAAATTCTTAAAGTAAGTTGCTTTCTTAAAGGCTGTCTTAAATGCTACATGGCATGATAAACATGGTATATAGATGGCAGGGGACAATTTAGGAGTGATCCAGGCTGATCACTTCACATCTGCATATGCTGATAAAACGAGAGAATCTGGTCCAGGTATTTGGCTTACATTTCCTGAGTGCTTGGACCTGAGTTACCATCTGATACAAGGCAGATTCAGTTTTGCCTCTAGAGAACCACCAGTGTCTTATTCAGTTGTTCAAAAATAAATTGGGAAATATGTAATTATGCTATAATATTTCATAAGACAAAATTCAGGCTGAATTCATTCCGGTGACATTTGACTTAATTAAATTAATTAATTACTTTTTTGAGTTGGGGATCTCACTCCATCGCCCAGACTGGAGTGCAGTGGCATGCTCCCGGCCACCCCAGCTCCGACCTGCTGGGCTCTCACCATCCTTCCACCTCAGCCTTCCAAGTAGCTGGAACTACAGGCGCACGCTACCATGCCCAGCTAATTTTTTAACTTATTGTATAGATAAGGGCTCACCATGTTGCTCAGGCTGGTCTCGAACCCGCAGGCTCAGACCACCTCTCGTCTCGGCCTCCCAAAGTGCTGAGATTATAGGCTTGAGCCACCGCACCTGGCCTAGGAGTATTTTTTGTGCTGATTTTTGTTGGAAGCTAGGCTATTTGCTTTCCTTGTGTTTCTTCTGTGTTAGGTACAGAGAATGTTTGACATTGGTTTTCTCTTTCTTGAGTCTTGGTTTACTCAGAACTCATTACCGCATGGAGAGAATTTCCCGTAAGTGATCAGGACAGCCTGGCTCACGGGATCTTAAGTGTGTTTAAAGCTGCAGGTAGTCGTGGTGTCTGCATATGGAGAGCGCAGAGTTTCAGTGAAGACCAGTATGTGGACTGTTCTATCAGAAGCTGTAGGGAGATGCCTCCCCTTGACCTGAAATGTTCTTGTCTGAGCCTCAGAGAGGGGGAGTGGCAAGAAAACGGATATGTACATGGTGAGGGAAAAGGGACCTGGGGTTAGAAAAGGCACTGGGCTGGGCACAGTGGCTCATGCCTGTAATCCCAGCTCTTGGGGAGGTCGAGGTGGGAGGACTGCTCGAGCCCAGGAGTTTCAGATTCGTCTGGCCAACATATTGAGAACTTGTCTCTACAAAAAAGATGAAAATTATCCAGGTGTGGTGGTGCACACCTGTAGTTCCAGCTACTTGGGAGGCTGAAGTGGAAGGATCACCTGAGACCAGGAGGATGACAGAATGAGACTCCAACTCAAAAAATTAAAAAAAGAAGGGGAGGGGAACTGGATTAAACTACTTCAAGGAGACAGTCTTGAGAGGGCACACACACCACTAATGAAGGATTTTCTGAGAAATAGCAATGCAAATGGATTTCAAAGAAAGAAGTAGTGAGTCATAAAGGAGTTGTGAGTAGGGAGTTGTATGCCAGGTTTCAAGGGGTAGAAGATCTCTTTGGTGGGAAGAGTAAGTGGATGCCAGGCCCACCTGGGGATACCACACACAAGCAAGGCTGATCACTGGATTGCTTTGAGACTCAGTTGATTCTGTATTTTGTCTAGTAGTTTTTATGCTGATTATCTAATGGAATTTACTAAATGCAAACAATTAAACCAGTTGGCAACTTGGACGCCACTGAAATTAATTTTCAGCTTTATTATGAACGGATACTTAGAATGAGGATGGAAATCAGCGACCCAACTTTTGCCAGTGTCTGTAATATTTAGTTCAGAAGAGAGTCACTCTCCACTGGTCACTCCAGAGACTGCTTTGTATTTTTAAACACAATGTTCAAATCTTACAACTTCATTGTACATCAAGAGTCTTTTTTGCTGGATCTTGGCAGAGAGATGCTACTTCTGGCATGAGAAAAACGGTTTGCTAGGTCATACTAACATGTGATTGCTACTGTGAAGAGATTCAGCTACAGGCCAGATGACAGGAAGACTAGCACTATTTTTTCAAAGGTATACTTGTTTAGACATACATAGACAAAAATTTAACTAGGCTCATGATATTGGTCCTTATTTTACAGGATCTGTATGTACTTGAAGGGCAATTGAGGTTGAAAAAAAGGAACACTTTTACTCCAGTTAGAAAAGGAGCATTCGACATTTCTTATGTGTGCTGGAGGTAGCATGATGCCTAGAACACTTCAGTATGAGAGAATCTTTGTAAGTAACTTAATTATTTTGTACATTCTTTTCCAGGGATGAGAATGGGAGTTTTGTTTATGGAGGAATCGGTAAATGTAAACAACCACCACCTGCTCCTAAAGGCTCAGAGTCCCCGAATTCCTTCTTGGACCAGGAAAGCCGGAGACGGAGATTCACCATTGCCGATTCAGATCAGTTGCCTGGGTACTCGGTGGAAACCAATATTCTGCCCACAAAAATGAGAGAGAAAACACCCTCTTATGGTAAGTTTCTGAGTGTTTGTTTTGTTCTGTGTTGGCCTTCTCTTCTCTTCCCCGCCCCCTTCGTTCGTTGGAAACTGTTGGATGAATCTGGCATACTTAAAGGGTGATCCAGAGAAAACATAAACCTCAATGAAATTCTAAGTATGAGAACTGTATTCATCTCTGTAAAGCGAAGCCTTGTTGAGTCATTACTCTGCCTGGCAGCTAGGCTGAGCTGGGTGAGATCATGTTACGGTTTTAACTCTCAGTGCTTGGGTTTTAACTTTGGAGTTGCTTTGCTCTGTAAACTCCCGGACTCAAGTTGGGCGTGCCGGTGTCCTGACTGCTCGCTATGGAAATTCAGTGCTTTAAAATACTTGCCTTGTTTTAAAACATGTATTGCTTCTGCGTAAGTGGGCGTCATGTTGTGGGGTCTAACTTATACATAGAAGGAGCCACTCAAGTCCCCAAACTCATTGGCCTTGTCCTCTTCTTTCTTGTTCCTCTGAAGGCAAGCCCCGGCCTTTGTCCATGCCTGCAGATGGGAATTGGATGGGGATTGTGGATCCATTCGCCAGACCTCGAGGTCATGGCCGGAAAGGTACGTTTAATCCAAGCAAACCAAGCATCACCAGGCAGGGAGTGGAAAGACCCAGAAAGACCCAGACCCTGGTTTCAGCTCTAATCCAAAATGTGTTATAATAATTAGACAGAGTATGTGGCCTTTCTGAGTTCTATTTTCTCGCCTATAAAATCACAACTGCTGAAGATCCATAAGGGCCGGCTTACTTCTAGAATAGCAAGATGACATAATCCTAGTGAGTGATTGTAAATACTCAAATCAGCATTGTGTGCTATAAAAAATGCTGTAGTGGATGGGCACGATGGTTCATGCCTATAATCCCAGTACTTTGGGAGGCCAAGGCAAGAGGATTGCTTGAGCCCAGGAATTCAAAACCAGCCTAGGCAACACAGGGAGACCTACACAAAATCAAAAAATTAGCTGGGCATGATGGCACATGCCTGTAGTCCTAGCTGCTTGGGAGGCTGAGGCAGAAGGATCGCCTGAGCCCAGGAGGTCAAGGCTGCAGTGAGCCGTGATCCTGCCATGGCTCCAGCCTGGGTAACAGAGTCAGACCCTGACAAATAAACAAACAAATAAATAAAAGGCTGTAGACTTTAATAGTCTAATTTTTAAGCAAGTAAAAATAAATTATTCATTAAACAATCTTATCCTAAATTTTATGACTACCATTATTGGAGTCTTTTGTTTTCTGATGAACAAACATGAATTTCTTTCTTCCAAATCCTTCTTGTGTTGGAGAATAATTACTGCTGAAAAGAAATATATAGCTGAGTGCAGTGGCTCATGCCTGTAATCCCAGTACTTTGGGAGGCGGAGGTGAGAGGATTGCCTGAGCTCAGGGGTTTGAGACCAGCCTGGGCAACTTGACCAGACCTCATCTCTGCAATAAGTGAAATAAATAAATTAGCCGGGTGTGGTGGCTCATGCCTATAGTTCTAGCTACTTGGAAGACTGAGGCAGAAGGATCGCTGGAGTTCAGCAGGTCAAGACTGTGGTGTCCGTGAGCGTTTTACTGCACTCCAGCCTGGGCAACAGTGAGACTCCTACTCAAAAAAAAAAAAAGAAATTTGTGTTTAATTCATGCTGTAATCAAAGTTACTGGTTATTACACTAATCTTGAGGGACATGTAAAATATTCTTATTTTTTTAGCCAGATTACTTCTGATTATCAATACTAGCAGAATATAACATTGTTTTTTCAGTGTTGAAACAAAGAGCAGGTGAAAAGTTAAAAGTGCAATAGACTTTAGATAGTAAAAGGGAAAAAAAAAATTCTGGAGACTCTTTCAAAGGGATCAACCCCTGACATCTCCTAGGGACTGGGTAAAGGCCAGTGCCGTGACTCATGCCTATAATCCCAGCACTTTGGGAGGCTGAGGAGAAAGGATCGCTTGAGCCCAGGAAGTTGAGACCAACCTGAGCAACATAGCGAGACTTTGTTTCTCTAAAATTCAAAAAATTAGATGGGCGTGGTGGCACATGCCTATAGTCCCAGTTACTTGGGAGGCTGAGGCGGAAGGATCACCTGAGCCTAGGAGGTCATGATTGTACTGCTGCACTCTAGTCCAGGTAACAGAGTGAGACCTTACCTCAAAAAATAAAAACAGAATTTGTTGCCTGAGTACCCCTATCACCTGGATCATGCTAAAGTGGAGATGGCTTAGGATTCTGTTAGTTACCATGTGAGTATCTGTGGAGCAGTCAGCAGGTGGCAGGGCTGTCCTTTGTTTAGACTTGAGAATGTTAACATTTCATTGCCATCCCGACAAGCCCAGAGTTAGCCTTTTCTTTCTTTCATTATTGAGAGAGGAAGTATATAGGCTGGAGAGTATGAAATTGAAAAATGGAAAAAACACCTGTTCCCCCGACTCCTCCTTCCACATTGTTCTTGCATGATGATTTTAGCTAAACAGTATCTATCTGCACAGTCACTTAAACAAATATCAGTTTTACCAGGATATACTCATCATAAAGTTTATCCTTTTAAAGTATATAATTAGGTGGCTTTTAGTGTATTCACAGAGTTGTGCATAAATTATCACTGTTTAATTCCAGAACATTTTCATCACCCCAAAAAGAAACCCCGTCCCTTTGAACAGTCACTCCCAATTCCATCCTTCTCCAGGTCCTGGCAGTCACTAACCTACTTTGTGTCTATAGATTTGCCTATTCTGGACATTTCACATAGATTTATACAATCCCACTATTTTTGATAGTGGGAACTTGACTTTTTCCCTTTGATTACAAAACAAGTACATTGAAAAACATCTAGAAAGCCTGAGAAAATGAAACAGCTGGAATATGCTTCTCTAACCTGGAAATAATCACTGTGAATGTAATTGTGTTTCCAGTTATTCCAATATTTACACTGATACACTTAGAAAAATGTGCAAACTGGAAGAGATAGAGGTTCAGTTATAATCTATAAAGTGAATGTTGTCTAGAATATTTTTTTTTATATAGCTGCATTGGTGTGCCTTCTTATAGCTGTAGCACCTATTTGCACATTATGCTACTGTTAGAAATCTAGGTTGGTTTTTTTTTCCAATTATAAATATTTCCATAAGCATTCTTGTATAGCATATATCTTTGCAGATTTGGGGGAGTCTAATTTCTGGGTCAAAAGAATGCTAGGCTCATACCTAGCATTGGAAGGCTGAGGCAAGAGGATCATTTGATCCCCAGGAGTTTGAGGTTACAGTGAGCTATGATGGTTACAGTGAGCCATTGCACTCTAGCCTGGACAACAGAGTGAGACCCTATTTCTCCAAAAAAAAAGTAATTATAATAAAAAGCTAAATGTTGAAATGTCCTGCATTTTAAGTTTCTATTTAATTTCTCTCTTTTTTTCTTTTTTATTTAGAGATAGGGTCTCACTCTGTTGCCCAGGCTAGTCCTGAATGCCTACAGTCAAGTGAGCCTCCCATCTTAGCCTCCCAAAGTGCTGGGATTACAGGCATGGGCCACCGTGCGTGACCCTATTCATTTTCTTAATACTTCACCCCCTCCAGCCCAGAGGGTCTACTGGCATTTAGGGCAGGGCATTAAAATCTTTGATCCTCATCCACTGAAGAATAGTTCCTGTCCTTCATTTAAAGTGACAGGCAGAGGCAGCCCACCTTTTTCAGTGCCCCCTGGGGGTACTGCAGGAGTAGCAGTCTTGCTCTGGAGGTATGAGCTTCTCCCAGAGGTGACTGAGCAAGACAGATGGAAGGAGGAGAGCTTGAGACGATCATATGACTTTCTTTATTTTTTTATTTCAAGTGAAATTATGAAAATTCTTACACTGGATGAGAGGTATAGGCTCTTGGGACAGGTACAGTGGCTCATGCTTGTAATCCCACACTTTGGGTGACTGAGATGAGAGGATTGCTTGCACTCAGGAGTTCGAGACCAGCCTGGGCAGCAACATCATGAGGCCTTGTCTCTACAAAATTTCAAAAAACCAGCTGGGTTTGGTGGTACACACCTGTAGTCCCAGCTACTCAGGAGGCTGAGGTGGAAGGATTGCCTGAGCCTAGGTAGTCGAGGCTGTGGTGAGCCATGATCGTGCCACTGCACTACAGCCTGGGCGACAGAGTAAGTCCCCGACTCAAAAAAAAAGGGTCTGGACTCTGATGCTCTCTGTCCTTTGCCACCTCTCAGGGGCTACAGCAGCCTAAAGGAGGAGGGGCCTCTTCCATATCTGCTTTCTAACACCCAGTGGTAAGCTTAGGCACATGTGAGGCCTTGTGGTCCACCCAGGGAGGAGAGAAGTGTATGCTGCTCGCCATCAGAGTGGCAGCATGGGTCTGGGTGGCTGAGGGCCCTTCCAACAACATTATGCAATGAATTGGTTATTTTATTTTATGTTATTATTATTTTTTTTGTCAGAGTCTCACTCTGTCACCCAGGCTGGAGTGCAGTGGCATAATCATGTCTACCACAGCCTCCACCTCCTGGGCTCTGGCAATCCTTCCACTTCAGCCTCCCGAGTAGCTGGGACTACAGGCATGCACCACCACACCTGGTTAATTTTTAAAAACTTACTGTAGAGATGAGGTCTTGCCAAGTTACCCAGGCTGGTCTCAAACCCCTGGGTTCAGGGCAGTCCTCTCGCCTCTGCCTCCCAAAGAGCTGGGATTACAGGCATGAGCCACCATGCCCAGCCAAGTTGTTTATTCTCACACACTGTGGGCTTTGTCTGGAAACAGGGGAAGACGCCCTTTGCCGTTATTTCAGTAACGAGCGGATTCCCCCCACCATCGAAGAGAGCGCTTCTCCGCCATACCGGCTCTCCAGACCCACGACGGAGCGGCATCTGGTCCGGGGTGCAGACTACATTCGAGGCAGCAGGTGCTACATTAACTCCGATCTTCACAGCAGCGCCACGATTCCATTCCAGGAGGAAGGGACCAAAAAGAAACCCATGTCCTCGGCCACCAAGTCCTCGTCCACGGAGCCGTCCCTCCTGGTCAGCTGGTTTACTCGCCTGAAACTGTTGACTCACTGAGGCTGCCCTGTTTGGCCTCCCTCCTGGCTCCTCTCCCAAGTGCCTTCCTTCTGCAGAGGACAGCCTCTCCTTGTTCAGCCGCAGTATTATGTAGTGACCTTAAGCCATTTTTTTTTCTCTTTTTTGGAAAGTTGTATACTGCCCTTCTCAGAAGTTGAAAGTAACCAGATGGGGGACACATGCAGAGGATCTTGGGTGGCTTTAGGGACACGGAGGAATAAGGGTGGAACCTACTTTTCTTGCTTCCCCAGAGGTGGAACACTCTAGAAATTGGAGTCTTGGCCAGAAATGTCATTGTAAGGGACTGGTGGCATCCTTCCTTTTTTTTTTTTAATGGGAGAGAGGGACTAAAATTGGTGGCTGTTGTAACACAGATGTGTCTGTTGGTGGTCCAGCTTTACCTGAAAAAGCCAGTGGAGAAAACGTTTTTGTTTTGAGTTGTAAAACTATATATCCTATTTGTAAGTGTAGCAGCTGTGACTTTGAAATAACATGTGACAAATATCTACGCTGTTTCAAAGCT